AGAAAAGCTCTCATAAGCTCACAGCCCCCAGGCCATAACACAACAGGACAGAGCTGAACAGGAACATAAAATCCCACATACTCTGCAGTATGTAAACTCACACAGATACACACACACACACACACACACACACACACTTGTGAAGACAGAGCACTAGGAGCACACTGCTTTGTGGGGACCAGAGGTTGGGTGCTGAGTAGTTTGTCAAATTTTATGAAAATGATGTGATATAAGATTATAGAAGCTGTGAGCTTTGGTTAAGTGTTAGGTAAAGGGTTGCGCAAGTAGCAGTTCTGTTAAGGTTTGAGTATGTCTCCTGGAAATAAAAGCGAGTTTATGTATGGACCCTGTAAGTGACAATCGCAAGGTTGTGTGTGTACAGAGCCAATGACCACAACGTTTGAGAAGCCAATTGAAGGGCCCATTTCATTTAGTTAATCAAATATATTATCCTTGCTCTGAAAAAAATCACTAAAAATACCAGTATACTTGACCTTTTGTATTGGTAATATTTCCAACATCCATTTCCTGTGTGTATGATGGCATCCGGTGATTGTTTTAAGTTTGTTAGCCATGTGGTTTGCGGTCTAAGACCCCATTTGTATGCTCAAATGTCACTCTGTGGTAGATGTGGACAACAGTGGGTTTTGATTTATAGCCTTCAGTCACACTAAACCAGTAGAGAAAATCTTTATTCAGTCTTAACAGAAAGCCAGAATTACAGATTTAAAGCAGAAGGTTCAGATCTTGGAGTAAATTAGCTGTATAGTTTTATTTCCTTGCAAATATTACTGCTGCACAAGATATAATAGCTAGGATTTCAGATCCAAATGAATGGTTGATACTGCAACAATTTCAAAAAAGTAGTCAAGACAAGCACCTGCTGTGTAATAGTTCCAAGTCAATTCAGAGTCAAATTAAACCAAATTTCAAGTGAAAGCAAATCATAAATCTTTTTTATATACAGTAGCATAGAACCCTTCCCCAGAAGCCCCAGGTATACACCCGGCCCACGTTAGCTCAGTTCCCTGCAGCTGCAGTTTGAAACTGACCCCAACTGAAAGCAATACATTGTAATTCTGCATGTAACAATACTGGATACAGCAGCTAAAGCTCTGTTACTGCATGCACACAATTTGTCATCCATCATTGTGCAATATTTCAGGGAGAATTCATTAAAATATGTGATTCAGATTCTGAGTTGCACCTTGAAATGGCAAATTGCTTTACTGGAGTCTCGTGGCATCTTACAGTTGTATACTTGACTGGAGGAGGAGGGGGTTTGAACGGCGGCGGCAGATCCATCCTAGAGAGAGCACAGATATTGACTAGTGGCATTGCTAGAAAGTTAGCTGTATCCAGGCAACATGAAGTTATTACAGGTCATGTCCAACTGTCAGAAAATGAGAAATATCACCACTTCATGTCTTTCAGGGTCACAGTACATGAACCAGTTTTACCTCTCCTTTATAAGGTGTCTCCTGTAGAGGAGGCCAGCCACGATGATCAATATAAACATCGGCACCATGATTAACAACAACAGATGAGTCCGTGCAGCATCTAATTTACAGATTCAGAGAGGGTTAAGTGTCATTTGGAGGACAGAAACAGCAGCACACACGTATAAGTTGTTGATCATCTTGCTCTGGGGAATGCCAGCAGATTAGTAATTATGACATTAAATTTAAAGCCACATTACAAAACCTTCTGGCTTGAGGCAGCTGGTTGGACACCAACCCCAGAGGCTCACACCCCTGTTCGTGAGTTTTCTACTTTCAGAGGGAAACTAGTCTGAAGCAGAGAAAACTAGAACCTGTAAATCCGCCACATGACATGACTTTACAGGCAGTGAAAATAAACTGACTAAAATTCCTCTGGAATTTTTAAGGGGTCTTGCCTGTTCGCCTGCATTTAGCTCTGTTTGTAGTCATTTGCTGCCTTTAAACTCTCTGGTAAGACTGCTGCTTGCCTCACCTTGGTAGTTGCAAACAAGTTATCCACAGTTGATAGTCCCCAGATAAGGTTCCCAAACAGTCACTAAAGCATCACTAAGTTCAAGCAGTCATTTAAAAGCCAATTTTAAGCAAAGGAAAATGTAGATATGAGGTCAAATTATGTGGATGTCTCTTAAACTGCATCTGCTGAAATATTGCATTCCTGGAAGGAAAAGGAGGCAGGAGGAGGGTAAGGACACACAACAATTTTAACACAACAGTGTTAAATATTAATTACCTTCATCTACAATTCCATTTTCGGTGTTCAGTCTTGTAGTTGGACTTTCATAGTTTTCTGTAAGGTTTCCCAAGGTGCTGGTCGATACAGTGTCCTCAGGATTCACTGAATGTAGCGTGGACTCAGTCTTGGTCTCGTCACTGGCCATTTCCTGTGTTGATCTGAACACTGTACTATCATAACTTAATGTAGTAGAATTGAGTAAGTGATAGGGGTCAGTGTGTGTGATAGGGGATGATGTGACACTGGTATAGTTATTTGTAAGCAAGGTTATAAATTCTCCAGCTGTGACTGTAACATTGCTGGGGTTTGGATTATCATCAGTCACATCAGTACCCATGCTTGTGGTCCCCGTTATGATGATATCAGTGGTTGAGAGCCCAGGGGTCGGTGATGTGGTGAGGCTGGTTGAAAGTCCAGGGGTCGGTGATGTGGTGAGGCTGGTGGCAACTCTGTAATGAGAGCCGAAGGTAGTGAAACAAGTAAGTCTATGGTAAACATGCTGCAACAATGTTGTGTTGTGTTAATGTTGTCACTGCAGTATTGAAAATTCCACTGTTCACTTGTTACCAAATACCTTATATGGAAAACTGTGCATATGGATTAACGAACTATACCGTAGCCTAACCATCACCCTGAACAGGTCGCCAGGCTATCACAGGGCTGACACTTTGAGACAGACAACCACACACTCACCTACTGTTAAGTTTTGAGCAAGGAAGGATCCAAAATGCAGACACGGTCTGGAGTTGAGTATTTAATCAGTTTAATATAACTGAAGAGAAACCAAGGGGCAAGTAAAACAACTAAGTACTCAACCTGACAGGGCTTCACAAAACTAATGTCTAAACAAACATCAGGGCACTACATGAAACGACTCTAACTAAAACAAACTCAGACAACAAACCAAGACTCTAGCCAACAGGAAAATTTGAAGACCAGAGGATAATAAGCAACAGGTGGAGACAATGAATGGTGATTAGGAACTGGGGTAAAGCTGCGGCAGGGGAGGTGATACAGGACAGGAAGTCTAACCAAAATAAAAGCACAAGACAGGAAGCAAGTCCAGACCATAACACCTACGGGCAATTTAGAGTCACCAATCAACCTAAGCTGCATGTCTTTGGACTGTGGGAAGAAGCCGGAGCACCCAGAGAGAACCCACGCAGGCACAATCCAAACAAAAACAACAAACTGGGATTTTACAGATAGTTATGTGCCAGAAAGACATCTTCACTGGGAGCAGTAACTAATTGCATTTGTTGGCAACTGCTTGCAGCTACAGTAAGAAACAGACTGGCACATAGCCTCCTATAAAACCCCCTCCATGAAGTTGTCCTTTTTACAATTGTATTTGTATGCATTTCTCAAAAGATCAAATTATTCCTTTAATGAGTTTCACATTGGAAAGCTAAATATAGAGTAGGAACTGTAAGTAATGCACGACAAAACTTTCAAATACCCAGGGCACAGTGATTAAGCACTTTGTGCATAATCAATAGGTAAAATAAAGCAAGGAGCTCATTCAGGGCCCTGTGAAGCCATGGGCACAGATTCCTCAGGCAGAGGTGTCGGCATGAATTGCAAATGTACCTGTATGGTGTATGTAATCTTAATTAGTGGGTATAGTTAATCCACTGTGTGTCAGTAGCTTTTAGTTTTTCCCCTCAATTTTCTTTGTACAGCCCCCTTCATACATAGCCTACACCCGGACATTAATCTCAGCTCACATTCCCTACAAAGAGATTAAAAGGATGCAAATTTTGTTAATTTACAAGAATAATAAATGAAATCTGATGCTGCAAATGCAATGTGATCTAATGCAATGCTGTGTCTGTTTACACATATTTTATCTCAGTGTTTTTAACTCTCCTTTTAAGATGTACTACTCTAATCTGTCCAACAGATTGTGCTCTCAGCCCTCGTCATAATTCAGACCTACTGAGACTCTGCTTGGGGGGTGGGGGTTGTGGTTTGAATGTAGATAGGACGGAACAACAGGAAGTGACTTCTGACGTCTGTGTGGCTTGTGTGTTTTGTTAGACATGTTCAAGTTCTCCTGAGAAATGTATAAAGGATGAAAAATCAGACATTACTTTCCTACTTATGCACAAGTCACTGCCAACACTCCACCAAGTTTGGTTGGTTTGTCATTTAAAATTGTGAACACTGTTTTAGATCAGCCTAATTTAGTGTCTGTACTTTCAACTGATTTGCCACAAATGACCCAGAGGTTATTTGTGGCAAATCAGTTGAAAGGTTTTGTAGTTTCCAGTTGATTGACAGTTGCTGGTGTTTTATCACAACAGGACTGATTTAAAAGCCTTTGAATCTATCTTCCTTCTCTTTATCCAATTAAAAATTTCAACTGAGGGAGCAACAGTATAATAACAAAAAATAAGTACCACCTCTGTGGTCGATCAGTCTCCCAGGCCCTTTGTAAGATTGCTAATCCAGCCCTGAGGAGATGCTGAAATCGAAAGCAAGAAAAAGCAACGAAGAAATGAAGACGCTCACCTGTACTTAGGTTTGTGGTCACTGTTAGCACTGTGATAGGAAACTGCTTTTGCAGACTACTGTTTCCTGTGTGCAAACTCCTGCATGAGCATCAGTTACCCACAAGAGCTCCAGAGATTTAATCTCTGACACCATCTTTATATTCTGGGACAAAACAAGGTTATGTAGAACATACGTACATTTCAAAATAAAGCCAGATGTTATTGTAATGCAGATTTTGAAGTCAAAGGTAATCATGTTGATTACCTTGATCAGGGACATAAAATTCAGTGGGATGCCAGATATAGGCAGATCTATTTATTTATTTATTTTTCTGGCTTGCACTACCTTGCTCCACCTGTACTGTGCTCTTAGATGTGCCGTTGGAGTTATTACATATGTATGTCTGCTCTGTAGGAAATAACAGCTGGTAGAATGGCAGAGGAGCAGCACTTTGATGCAATCAGGAGTAACATACAATATAATATATGAAATGGACAATAAGATAGATAAGATAACACTTGCTGTACATCTCTATCCAAATATTAAATCCTGTGAGGACTGTAAGGTCTGTTTGAGGTGTGTTGGTGTGTAGGGTATGCATGTGTTTGCCTGCTTCTTACCACTTATCTGTAGCCCCATTTCCCTCATGATGGATCCCAAAGGAAAAGTTGAAAACGAACAAATATAAATGCCACTTTGCCATTTCTTCACTGCAGTAAGGTGTAGACTGAAGCCTGTTGACTTGTTTGCAGTATTGTTCTCAATCTGTATAGTAACGTTAGGCTGAAATTGATTAAGTCCATAAAGTGGGTGATACAGAACCAGCTTTGTTTTGTCACCATTTTCATTTTTCTTATTCCATTCAACATCGACAATCTTGAGATCACTCTGGCTTTTTATTGCACAGGGTAAGGTAACATTCTGGCCCTCTACTGCTGTCGTCGTTTCAGAATGGAACACCTCAACATCCTGGAGCCCTGTCAAACACATCAGATATAATATTTCAAACAAGAAAAGTGAGGAGACAAAATCATTTACACTTAATAATACAAAATGCAGTCTGCTGGGATAGCGGCAGATAAAATCAGAATTATACTGAGGCAGCTTGTCACACCAGGAACTAATACATACTCTGTGCTCATGGTGAATATCCCAGCTTTGCTGATATATGAGTAACAGCATGTAATTCAGGATTACCTTGTGTAATAATAGAGGCAAGGAGCAGGAGAGAGAAGGTCTTTCCCAGTGCACTTCTAGCCATATTCGAGCTCTCCAAAGTCTTTACGATCAATCAGGCTGGATTCATTGGGGAATTTAGAAAAAAACAGAAGAAACAGACTGTCGACTGGGGTTAAAGAACAAGGCAGAGGCTTTACAGGAAGCCACACAGTAAAACACATGTACGTGCTGCTGCTTTGTGGTGACAGCTTCTGTTGCAGAACGGATATATGCAGTAGTCTTAAATTGTGCTTATCATTTGTTTTGGCCAGGGCTAACTAACAAGGTGCAGATAATTGGCTCACTTGGTTTCAGATTACATCGCTGATGATCTGAATCATTCTGGAAGAAAGATACTTACACAAACAAGACTGAAAAATTAATTTATGTTTTATTTAAAAAGCTTCTATTTTAAAATGTATTATTTACAAATATGCACAGGTTTAGCAGTTATATGTCACATGAGGTTCTGCTTTTTATGAGCATGTGTTTTTGTAACTAAAACAAGCTTCATAAACTGGAGTTAAAAGTGTATTCATGAGTGAATGAATACAGAAAAGACTAACAAGTTCTCACAGGCACAGATGGGTTATAGCCCCATCTGTTGGTAAATACATACTCAGCAGACAATAAATCCTAGAAATCCTTTTATTCCCATTCTGTTTATCTTGTTTTCGAGGAGCGCCCCTAAATAAATAAAGACTGTGTAGGCTCCTACTCACTTATATGTAATAAAGATGATATGACTGAAATGTGATCACTTGATTGTTCGATACAGTTACAGCAGGCCTTCAGATTACAGGCTTGTTTTGTCCTCTTTACTTGTTATAGTTAATTTCTCAGAGCTGAATTTAAATATAAAGCTTTTCACACTTGCACTGGAATTAAGCACTTTGGGACTTGCACTGCCAAATGTGATTTTATTATTCTAGTTAAATTTGTTTGCTTACTGTTTAGAGTTTCCAAAAGTGCTATTAGATGGCAACTCAACTTGCTAGAGTTCTAATTGACTGGTGCGGAGTCTCAGGCATTTAACCTCTGTACAGTCATTAATGCCTAGAGCACCGTTGTGGCCACATGTGGGTCATCGTCCCACTCTGCTATAATGTGTGTGGGTCATATCAGTGTGACAGTGTTGGAGCCGTCTGGGCAGGGATGCCAGGGCTGTATTAGAAGTGGATGATAATTGCTAGACCACCTCCACTTTTAGTTTGTTGCAGTTTGACATTGATGGCTTTTATCACTCCTCTTTCATAACCAACTGTCATCTCTGTGTACACTGCTATCTTTTTTCAGTATCTCATTTCATTAGTTAATCAGAAAAAAAAAGCAATTTTAATTATTTAAACTGTATCACAAAGTGCTGTTATCCAAACAGCTTGTCCACCTTTTATTCTTTTCATCACTCCACATTTCACGAACTCCCCTCCTATGACGTATTATGAAAACTCCCTGTAGACCCATGCATTTAAATTATTGATCATTTAATAACTATAATCTGTGTATGACCTTTAGAACTTGCATTAGGATTTAGAGGAGTGACTGCTGTCCAACAAGAGATTTCTATTAATATTCTGTTAGTGTTTTATCAAAGCGCACTGCTCCATTTGATAATAGTAGGGGAGTCAGAGAAATCTCAGAGATTTTCAGTCAACCATAATATGACTGTGACTGCTTCATTCAGTGGTCCATGGCAGCTCAGTCTTACATGAAAGTGCACAGCAGCTACA